TCTAAATCTTATCAGTTTTATATTTATACTTCCTCAAAACTTAGCTCAAATCAATAGCTGATCTCAAAGGATTCACAATTGAACTCAACCACTTTCTTGAACTCTACCCTTAACTCTCTCTTGAATGTGATTTATAAATTCAAGAGTCAGGGATCATGATATGAAGGATATTGTGATGACAAAGTGAACTCATGAATACCTTTTCTTTATTCTCATACTCTCATGTTCGAGTCTTGAAACAAGTTAGTCAAAGTTGTAGAAGACTTTACAAAATGACTCAAAGAGATTTTTTTATGACCATGTTATGAATGAATTCTAGGTGTTCAAAAGTAACTTAGAGTAGTTAGAATCGAAAAAGAAGTGAAGGTACCCTTTGAAAGAAGTCAAACAGAACAACCAAAAGGTGCTCTAACTGACATGGGTTGCTTGACCCTAAACTTTAGAAAAAAATTGAGGCGCACTGGCTGGTGCGACGTGCCAGGCCCCAATCCAGAAAACCTGACGAATTTCTTTGCTCGTTTTCTCACCCTAACTCGCATAGAATCGAACAATTTCTTTTCCAATCACTTGGAATCGATTTCTTAAAATAATTAAACTCTAATATACTAAATAAATCTCTCAAAACACTCACTTCAATCTCAAGAAATCATCAAAACCCCAACACAACAAGATTTAGGATGAAATTCAAGAACACTTCTCAAGAACTCTAATCTTTCAACTTCAAGAATGAAATTTCACTGATAATAATATGATTGGCGTGTGGGTGAACGAACCCAACACTATGAAAGCTTACATACCTCTTAGGGATTGAACCCGTGGCAAAAATCCACAACAAAATGCAAGAATCTTAATGAATGTTTGATCCCCTCCTCTTTTCTCTTCTTGAATTCTAAACTAAAACCCTAGGAGCATATTATGGTAATAAAACTGAACCTAATAAGATTAGTCCGTTAAAACTTACTAAAAATGAATTAAATCTTATTGGGTAAGAAAAAGAAAAAAATACCCCTTACTATTTTCGGGTAACCTTCCTTATTTGGACAACCTGACTTCAAAAGAGCATATACTTAGCAAACTCTAGGGCGTTGGAAAGATAATAATTCAATGACCTTCCATTAGATATCTTGTAGCCCACCTATATCAACATGTATTGAGAGTTATGGTCGTTTGAAGTTGATCCAAAACTAATAACTTAAGCATAACTTGCAAAATTTCATATTTTGCTATTTCCAATTTAGTTCTTTTGGAACCCAAGGTGCTATATCTAGTGACCTTAAAAATCAAGAACCTTCTAAATTCCTTAATGAAAATACACTTACTACGAAGAATGGTTCGAGTGTTAGTTCAAAAATTTTAAGGGTGTTATAAGAAGAATGAGATTTGTGATTTTATGGTAAGATTGAGGGGGCAGGGGTGTTAGGGATTTTCCCTGATTTTCTTAAGTTATTTGAATTTCATTTTATTCTTGAATGATAGTGAAAGTATTTACCATAAATTCTTCAACTTTTCCAAAAGGAAAACTCAATTTTCTCCCATATTTGTTTTATTATTTTCTTTAGAGGTAAAGTTCGGGATCCTATAAATTAAATGTGAATCTTCTCATACCAAGAACAAAAAACATTCACAATGTACACGTTTAAGAGTTAAGCCAAGGGGGAGATTTTCTTCCAATATGTTTATGCTTTTTCAATGTTAGTTTTATAATATGTAGACCATTTGGCTAAATCATTTCAATAATATATTTTAATATGATTTTATTTTTCATCTGATTTATCGAACATATGATTTTCAATTGAAAACTTCATTTAACGCCCCAATCACTTTCGACCCAAACAAGGGGGATGGGGAGAAGCGGGGTCGGTTTTGAATGGTGGAGTCGCTAGTAATTTTCAAATTTTAACCAAACCTTTTAGATTCGAGTTTTTATGAATATGTAGTCACCTTTATTTAGGGAGTGCTTTACTCTCAATGTAAGATTTTCTAGCACGAATTCAAATTTATTTAGATTTAATATGAATATCAAACATCAAAGAGGGAACAAAATCATTTCTTCATTCTATTATTTCAAGGGAGTGGATGTACATGGACGATATATTAATGACCTACACAAAATTCTTGAATTGTTTTTTATTTAGTGTTTCAACTAGGTAATTTACCCACGCTTCGCGTGGGCATAAGTTATCTTTCTAACCGTTTGAACAAACTTTTCAATAATCGCTTTTATAAGGAAAAAAGTAAATTATTGTAGGTTTTAGAACATTTCTAGAGAAATTAAATGATTTGACATTATCACATATCTCAAAAAAATTTAATTCATAATTAATTATTATAAATATCTTGATATCTAATTGCTTTTATCTTTACATAATTTATCACATTATATGTTGTATGATATAATTATGTTGTTAAAATTGATTGATGTTTTTGTGTAGCGATTTAACATCACTTTTTATATTATTTTTTTTGTATATGAAAAATATAAAAAGGTTATAACGTTGTGGTTATAATAACTCCTTGTGTAAATAGATTTATGTGAAAAATTCTCGATAATAAATATTAGTTATAAATAAATTAAGATTGTTAAAATATGTACACTGCAACAAAATAAATAATTATTTTAAAGACGTCCTACTTGTATGAGGTCAAATGTTCACAACTTTTCGTTATTATTAATTTATCACTTTAACAAAAACTTATAGACATTAGACCCTTCCGGATGCTTCATCAACTTAACTTAATGATTTTTTCAAGAATATATACGTATGATTGTTGCATTATTAAAGTACAAATAGATTAAAATATTGGATTTACTCATGTTTTAAAAAACATTCTCAAACATTACAAATTTAATAATGAGTCTAAACTATATAATTCAAATGCTCAGCAATGACTTGGGACATGAAGAACAATAAATCTATGTTTATAGACATATCTATTGTAGATCAAGATATTACTTTTATTTAGAGTGGGTTTTGTTTCATATTCTTCAAATTAAGCTTGACAAAAATAATCCTAACTTACAACAAAAATATTTAGAAGAGCGAACGAAAAGAAAAAAAAAGGAAAACACTAAAAGGACGAAAATCTTATCATAGTCAGATTATATATGTCAAACAAAAAAATTAATATAATTGTAAGGAGACAAAAAAAACAGCGATGAAAAACATACATTAAGGATTAAACTATGGGATATTCAATGATGATAAGAAATCAATCTAGCCAGAAAAGTTCTTATGTTTTGAATTAAGATACCTCAAAAATTGACTAACACTCAATCAACTTTCAATCCTTAAAGTACTCATAATATGCAGTGATAAAATTTCATAAAAATAGTAACAACATAAAGAAAAAAATATGGGCATGCAAAGTAATTAACTCTTAGAGGATTTTCTGAAGAACACAAAATCACACCCTTTTATGTGAAGGAATAACGTTGTTGATGAAGAAATCTAAGATTCGAAAAGGCTTTTTTTATTGTACTTTCAACAATTTCAGTAAAGAAAACTTGCTTGAATATTCAATTGATATTTGTTATTTATTATGTACTAAACAATAACTTTGCATAAGCATATACTCAAAAATAATAATCAATAAAATAAGTATAAACTAATGATTATAAAAAAAAAACCAGGATATGCAATATTAGAATGAAACATAATGAAAAAAGATTAAGCCCACTGAAAGCACCGCGTAGTCCCCTATTTATAGACAAAAAAGGGTACTGTAAAAAAATAATTATTTTGTCTAATCGGAAAGGTCACAACTCTTTGAAAAAGTTACAACCCTTCGGAAAAGGCACAACATTTCGTAAAAGTCGCAACTCTTCATAAAAGTCACAACTTTTCATAAAAGTCACAATTTTTCATGAAAAAAATTACAACTTTTCATGAAAGAGGAAGACTATATATATATAATATGATTTTTTTTTCTTTTAAGTTTAATCAAACATCATCATCATAAAATATGTCTTCTAGAAATAGCTATTCGGAAATTGGTGAAGTGGCTTATTGGTGTCATATACATGAATTGTGGTTTGTTTGAATAATTTTTTTTAAAAAAATTATGTACTCTATTATATCCACAAAAAATTATCAATAAAAATAGTACTACTATAATTTACTAATTTATTTTACTTTTGATATTGTAATTTTTATAGCTATAAATTATTATGAGAATTGAGAAGATTTGATGGGGACATATACCAAAAATGTATTATTATTGTTGTTATATTGAGTAAATAACAAAAAGTTTTAAAAAGTCATAAAATTAGTACTACTTAAATCTGTTGCAAGAAAAAAAATTCCATATGCATAACTAAATTTTCATCATATTTGAATTCTTCGTTAGCTAGAAATTTGATACATTAAGTTACCTCTCTCCAAACGTGTTAGATATTGTCAATTTCTACCAATGCCAATGCTCAAAATTCAAGAAAATGTGAAATTATACACCAATTTATACCGATTAAAAGATTGGAAACTACATTCTACAACATATCAACTCAATAATGACTTGAGTTAGTAAATAAATGGGTCATGATCAAGCCAAACTTGGATGGATTTGACGAAACATATTTTTATGAATGAGTTTTTATTGTTAGGATGAATATTTTTGTAGAACTTACGTTGTATTTGATAATTAAAACTCGATTCTTTATTATGGGGGGGGGGGCGACGGTCACCCTATAGTTGATACTAGTCTTAGAAGTGAAAGTAATTTCATAATAAAAATCTATAGTTGATGATGGAGATAGTTACTACCAGTTAGGATCTTAGAATATGATAAGCATCATTTAAGTAGGTGTGTTTTTCTCATAATTTTTGTATTCAATATCCAATTATTAGAAAGTTATTATAAACGAAAAATTGGATAAAGTGTAAAATAAGATTATTGAATGATTATAACAAATTAAGCTAACGACACAATCATACCAACTCATTGGTTATATAAAGAGTTTTTTTTTATCATTACATGATAAGAAATTCGACAATACAATAACATTCACTACTTAAGAAGAAATTTGTAGGTCAAAATATCAAATTTTAGCAAAATCTAGTGATGCTTTACCAGAAGGCCTCTTACGAAAGAAATAATTCCAATAATCAGAAAACAAGACATGTTTGTACACTGGTTTTTCTCCATCTTTCAGCATTTGTGAAAATGGACCAATGACACTGTCAAAGCAAGGATTCACAAATAGCGGTACGGATATTCGAGCCCTACTCGAATCAACTGCTACACAATGCTCGACACTCTTGTATCGATCATTGCTCATAATCTGTAACGAGTCACCTATGTTAACCGCTAAGGCGCCTTTGATTGGTTTTACGTGGATCCAATTATCGCCTTTAGTCCCTCAAACATATAGGCCTCCCATGTCATCCTGGAAGAGCAGAGTGATGCAGGAGACATCGCAGTGCCGACGAGCCCCAATGGTGATACTTGGATCTGGGCATGGTGGATAATAGTTTATGTTGATAGCCATTGTTCCCATCAAGAGAGGTTCTAAAGATTCATCAAAGTCATTGACGTTGAGACCTTTCAATAGCACCTCTAACAATTTTTTAGCAAGTGGTGTAGCCCACTTTTGATATTCCAAGACTTGGTTCCTATAAATTAGTGATAAAGCAAGGAATTTTGTTAAGAGCGTATAAAATTTAATGGCAAGTTAATTTAATGTCAATTTAAAAAATTTCAATAAGAGTGTTCAAAAATTTCATCAAAAATATTATTTTAACCCCACAAATGTAGAAATAAGATCTGTGCAAATCCTATTCTTATTTGTGGAATTATACTAAATATATTATTGTAAAAAAAATTTAAAAAATTCCTAGTTAGGCAGTATAATTCAGATTTAAGTTATATACACCTTTATAAAATTTAGGGATAATAGTAAAAAATAAGGCCTGAAGTAACACATTTTTGCAAGCCTCCTATATGAACTATCATCAACTAATATCAAAATACATCTCAAAATTAATGAGTCAATTGTCATTGGGACAAAATTTTATGCCTAATTAACTGGTGACACAACCTTTTGTGATTGTATTGAGACACTTAGTCTAGTAAGTTTTTAGGTTTATTTTAAACAATAGTAATTAGAGTTCAGATAGAAAACACAAACACCTTACAGTTAAATATGAAACTCATGAAAAAAGTAATGCTAAAGGTTTGTATTGTTACTTACTCAAAAACACGTGACCTACAAATTACACAGAACAGAAAACACAAAAGTTTACCTTGTTTGAGAAGGCCAAAGATTGCTATCATTTTCTGGATTACAACCATGTTTTATACTATCCCTCCACTCCAAAGATTTCTCATTTTTATCACCAATAGCACTCCAAAACATCAACACAGATTCACCAGCACTAAAACTCTCTTTATAATACTTTACTTTTTCTTCAGTTGGCAATTCGAAAAACTTGTGGGCCGCATCTTTCAAATCCTCAAGGACTTCAATTGGGATCCCATGATTGATGATTTGGAAGAACCCCCACTTTCTTGCTGCTTCTTGAATTGATTTTTTAACATTTAAATCATCAAAATTTGATAAATCAATTGTAGGGATTGATTCTTGATTGTCAATTTGAGATTTTTCTAGTCTGTGTTCTTTTGGTTGAATACACTGATTTGGGATAATTTCAAGGCTTTTGTCTACTAAGCCTTTTATTCCGTTTGCTTTCTTGATTATAAAATCAAGTATATCATCATTTGATTCAAATTTTGATGAAGTCATTTGTGGGTTGAATCTTGATGAGTGTGTACAAATGGAAGAAGGAAATTTAGGGTTTTCTTATGGTGGATTTGAGAGGGTGTCTGTGGGGGAGAATGGGGCTTGGCTATGAAATGATGGAAGAAGGATATTTGGGGTTTTTATAGTGGGTTTGGTTATGGGGGGGGGGGGGTTGTGTAAGAGTTTTCCTTGATTTTTTTACTTTATTTAAATATTAATTTTCTCTTGAAGGAAAGTCAAATTATTATCCTAAATCCTTCAAATTTTCCAATAGAAAAATATGTTTTTCTTCAATATTCGGTTTAGTATTTTCTATAAAGGAGAAAGGCTGAACTCTATAAATTGAATACACATATTCTCATACCGAGAACACAAGAACATTCACAATGTAGATTTTTAAGAGTTTAGCTTTGGGGGGGGGGGGAGATTTTCTTCTAATATTTTTATGCTATTTCAATATTAGTTTTATAATATGTAGACCATTTGGCCAAATCATATCAATAATATGTTATTGTATGCTTTTATTTTTCATTTTATTTATCAATCAATTTGTAATTGTAAACTTTCACATAACGCCCCAATCACTTTGTACACCAACAAAGGGGAGAGAGGAGAATCATGGTCGGTTTTGAATGGTGGGGTAGCATGTACTTTCTCAACTCACAGCGGAAGACTTACTCAACATTAGATGAACTCATATGTAAATTTTAACTCAATGTCTCAAAATGTTTTAGAAATAAAACATTCAGTTGCCAAAAAAGGCACTCACATCTAGAACATGAAAAGTGAAATGAACAAAACTTATGAACTACTATTGTCTATCAATCTATGAAGCCTCTAATACTTTGAAGGATGTACGTACAAGACCTCCGATTTATCCTACAACATTGAATTAATATAATTAAATGAGGGATCCTCCGAAAAAAAAGGAGACTCACCAAACAAATCTGAAACTCGACTAGATCAACAAAGCGCTGGTTGATGGTCCTAGTTAAATGTATCTGCTTTATGAAAGATGCCGGCCAAATGGCGTCTGTACATGGAATGTATAGGCTTGGAAGGGGAACACTGAACATAACGTGTGAGATTGAATTGCTAAAAAGGAAACATACTATTTTTGACTCTACTTAACTCAACCTCAACTCATGGATACTCAACTCAATACAATATAAAATGATGATATAAGTGCAGTTTATATAAAGCATTTAAAATAGTAGATAACAACTCAACGTATTTAAAAGTACAATAATAACTCATTTTGTATGTAAAGATATAAAATAACTTTGTTTGGGAGATTTTCTATGTGACAACCATTACTATAATCTATGATACAATGTCCCACCCGCGCTTCTAGAACTATCTTATACCTTATCGGGGTATAGAACTTACTAATGGATCCATTAAGATAGGATAAAAGTAATAAGAATCATCTAAAAGTATGACCCTTAATAAACACCAACCACGTTTGCTATATGGTTTATGAGTACTTTTAATTATCTGAATTCTCCCCATATCGACCTTCAATACTACTTTCAAAATCTAATTTAGCTCATATGTTTAAAAACATCTCCTCATCCTCAACTTTGACATAATTACTCAAAGGTTTCTCTTAAAAGAGATAATACTCAAAACTTCTCATGATCTCCTTTAGAAATCGTTGTTTCCCCTCATTTTTAATGTAAAAACATTTATTCTTGGGAATACTTAGTTCTCATATATTTATTTTGAAAAATGCAACTCAACTCTCCTCAACCTCAAAATCAAGTACTTAAGACTTAAAATAAGTTTTAAAAAGATTGTAAATGACTTCTCAAAATGACTCGAAAGAACTCTCAAGACTTTACTCGTAATTCTACCTTGAATTTGAACTATGAATTAAAGGGTTATTATTCATCTTATGCATGATTTCTCTATATTTAGATGTATTTTAGAGTAGCTAGAATCAATAGGAAGTTAAGGTACAGTTTAAAAGGACTTAGATAGACCAAAGACGGAAAAAGCATGGAGAATGTAACCCTGGCACCCTGCCAGTGTGGGCCTCCAGCCCTTGAATTTCAGAGAGATAAATTTGGCGCACTGCTGGGGCATCGCCCTAGCCCTCCCTCAAAATGTTCCGACGAATTTTTCTTCTCATTTTCTGACCCTAATTCGTATAGAATCGATTGTTTTTTCAAATTTTCCTTAGATTCAATTAGCCAATACAAGTACCTACTAAAAAACAACCCTCAAACTCATATATTTATGGATTGATTCGCAAAATAAACTCATGATTGGTGTGTGGGTGAACGAACTAAACACTGCGAAAACTTACATACCTCGATTTGGGATACAAATCCTCAATTCGCAAGAGATCTTGTTTGTTCTTCCTTTTCTCCTCTTTTCCTCTTCTTCAACTCCTTTCAAAACCCCAAATGTAGTTTTGGATTTTAAAACTAATCCAAATCAAATTTGACCCCAAAAATAATAGAAAAATGTTTTATTTTGATGGGCTAAGGAAAAAGACCAAAATACCCCTCACTAATTTGGATAACTTTCCTTAACTAGATAGGCCGATTTCAAACAGGCATATTTCTCTCGTACAATCTTGAAAGTTAGCAAACTTGATGGCTTTGGAAAAAGAATCCCAGGACCTTTTATTTGATATCTTATGAGCCTCTTAGCTCATCTTGTACGGAAAGTTATGGTCATTTGAAGTTGATTCGAGACTCACAACTTAAGTATAACTTGAAAATTCTCGATTTAATTATTTTCAACTTAGCACTTACTAAATTTAACACTTTCTAAGGCGGAGTGTTACAACTTCTACAATGGAATACTTTATATTACTTTTAATATGATAATTTTATAGCTATAAATTATTATGACAATTGAGAAGATTTTATTGGGAAATATACCTTATAATTATTTTTGAGTAAATACAAAAAGATTTAAAAGTCATAAAAGCAGTACTACTTAAATTGGTTACAAAAAAAAAACCATTTGATTGAGTGCATTTCCCTATACATTACTTAATCTTCATCATATTTGTGTTCTTCGTTTTCTAGAAAATTGACACATTAATTTACCTCTCTCCAAACGTGTTTGAGAGTGTCAAATGTGAAATTATTGTATTTCAAATATGCTGCCAAATGCTCTAAATTCAAGAAATCTGAAATTATATACCAATTTATACTGGTTAAAAGGTTGGGAACTACATTCTACAACATATCAACAGTTTTTTTATTTACTTCATGGCTAGTAAATAAATGGGTCAAAGATCAAGCCAAACTTGGATGGATTTGATGAATAATACTTTCATGAATGAATTTTTGTTGTTAGGGTGTTTTTTGTGTGTGCAGAATTTACATTGTATTTGATAATTAAAACTCGATATTTGATACTAGTTTTCGTCATTGAGAGATTATCTATCACAATCTTTGATGATTGAGGGGGTGGTTTTTTATTTGGTACCAGTCTTAGGAGTGAACGTGAATTCGTTATAAAAATCTATAGTTGATGATAGAGAGATTTACTACTGATTACGATCTTAGAAAATGATAAGCATCATTTAAGTAGGTATTCCCCCCCCCCCCCACATTAATTGTACTCAATATCCTATATAAAACTGAATGCAAATTCATTTCTAAATTGAGAATTTTAATTGATGGAGGAGATATTTTCTACGCATCATGAGTATAGTATTATAACTAAAAAGTAGGATAACTGGTACAATAAGATTATTGAATTATTAGAACTAAACAAGATAACGACACAATTATACCAATTCATTGGTTAAGTAAAGAGAGACTTTTTGTTATCACATGATAACAAATTTGAGTATACAATAAAATTTACAAAACAAGAAATTTGTAGATCAAAATATCAAATTTTACGGAAGAAATAATCTCAATAATATGAAAACAAGACAGGTTTGTACACTGGTTCTTTCTCCATCTTTCAGCATTTGTAAAAATGTACCAATGAAAATGTCGAAGATAGGATTCACAAATAGATGTATGGATATTGAGCCCTGCTGGAATCAACCTCTACACAATGCTCGATACTCTTGTATCGATCATTACTCATGATCTGCAATGAGTCACCTATGTTAACCACTAAGGCAGCTTTGATTGGATTTACGTGGATCCATTTATTGCTTTTATTATCTCAAACTTATAGGCCTCCTATATCGTCATGGAAGAGCAGAGTAATACGGGAGACGTCATAATGTCGGTGAGCCTCAATGGTGATACTTGGATATGAGCATGATGGATCATAGTTTATGTTGATAGTTATAGTTCCTATCAAGAGATGTTCTAATTTGATACGTCCAAACATACACCTCAATTAATAGGTATAAATTTCGAATTCCACTGATAGAACTCAACGTGAGTTGAAGTTGATCCCACAGAGAATTTCTTTACAGAAATGATTTCATTGTCGCGTTTACCCAAATATCATTATTATTTCTTAAAGACAACAATTACGGCATGTAAAATGGGTTTATCTATAAAGCTCTAGTAACCAACTTTTTAACTAAACTTTAATTTAACAAATATCTGAATATAAATTCTAAAGTTGTTTCGATAATTAAATGAAACTAGGATTGTTCCCCATAACTTTGTATCTAATGTTTTTCCGTAGTTAAGTTTCAGGCAATTTGTGTCTACAAAATACAGGCAAGCCAAATATGTCTAATACTTCTCAGTCTAATCAGATAATTTTCACTCAAGTCCTCTCGTCCTAGAGTGTTAACAAGTTTCACTCTCGCCTATAATAATGTTAAAGTTCATTCCTCAAAGACTCGAACTTTGACTCTATTTCATCAGTTTAAATTTAACTTTTTCCCAACCATCCCCTTTCTGTCAAATAAACGACATATACAGGCTACACTCTAATGTGTGCACTCATTATAATACATGAATAACACAAGTTAAATAAGAATTTGCAAAATTTAAATCGCCTTCTACTCGTCTTACGGTATTACACTTAGATTTATATCATATATCCCACAATACCAGTTGTGGAATTTAGCCGCTCATGATTTCACATAAACATACAGAAGTATATAAAGAAAACACGATAAGAAAATACTTATGAAAATAAGCAAAATCGATAAGTAGTTTGATAATTCAAAAATTG